TTCATTGACTATACAGAGAAGAATCGAGAGTCTAGATCCGGCGTCAAGAACGTCAGTGAGAATGTGATTCCGTTTCTACATTACCATTTCGGGAAGATGGAAACGGATTCAGTCGGTAAGGTTGTGCTCGCTTCCTAGAGAGATCCAAGAAAATTGAAATGAAAATTTGGGGAGACGGAGAATATAGTAGTATTTCATTGTTGGTTTTGCAGCATTTCTCAACCTTTTTTTTAATTATTACTATTTTTTTTTATAAACTCTCTGTTTCCAAACGCTCGAATGCACAAAGAGCACTTTCTCAATATTTTTTTTTATTTATAATAATTAAATTCAAAATTTTATTTTAAAAAAACAAACTTTTTTTCATTTAAATAAATAGATTATTATTATTTTTTGAAACAAATTGGAGATAGTTACTTGAAAGTGATTTAAAATTTCAATTTTGATTTTATTTAAATTACTAAATACTACTAATAACTTAAACAATTCAATATTCATCTCCTTCTATTAAAAGTAAGAGATATTGAATTTGAGTACTTCTCTCACATTTGTTTGTTAAAGAGCTTAATATAATATTAGACTATTCAAATTATATAAGATTACAAAATATTTAATATGTATTAACTCCACCCAACCGAACTCTTATAACTAACATTTTCTCGCTTGTATGTTTGTTAAAAAAATCCGGTGTTTACCTATTCAGATGATATAAGACTACAAAATACTAACAATGGATAAGAGGGAACTCCCTCAGAAAATAATATGAAGCACTCACCCAGAAAAAAATCCCACTTGCAAAATGAGGAAAATTACAAATTTTGTTCTCTATTACAAAACTGAAAACAAGTAAAATTGATTAGAACATACCCATTGTGTTTATCTAAACAATTCAGTCTTTTGGATATTGTTAAGGACCCAGACTGCAATTTTTTCTTTTAACAAGTTTACAAATAATACTATTACAAGTAACCCTAACATTTTATGAGAAAGAAGACAAAGTCATCACAAAGATTCGAACATCAAACCCATGAGTGGTTCGACTGCAATTCTGACTTGTAAAGATTTTAAGAATCATATCCCATCTTATCCTTGAGAAGTGGGTTGAATTCGTCTCCACCATACATGGA